TCCGGTTGTTTTCGTGAAAGGTGGTATTGTTGATCGACCGATTTTTTGTGTGCACAATATTCAAACAAGGATTCTTCCACCAGCGCCTTCTAATCATTTGTATCCATACTTTTAGTTGAAGATACCAATTTTGGGCGGAAACGGTGAGCAGATCACCGAACACCGAACATTTTTCTTCATCAGGTATTAGATCTCGAACAAAATCCGATCTGACCGTCACGATCCAGCTCCGAGCTCAATCTTCGTCTCAACGTTTTCCTGAAGACCCTTTCAATATGTGAGACAACGGAGGCCCTGATTCTCTCACTGGCAATCTCGATGTTCCATGTAGTTTCTGGAGTGGCTGCATATGGATTCCGTTGTTCTACAAGCCGTGATCGGTCAGATTTACTTTTGCTCGGGCGACAGGGTTCCGATCTTACCGATTTTAATTTGACGTCCGAGATAATCGATGCATGGCAAGCCGATCCCATATGATTCTGCTTGGACGTGATAAATTTCAGGGCGATATTGTCTTCATTCAACGCAGCTTTGTCCACAAGACTAATAATAATCTTGAAAAAAGCGTCTACTACGACCTCGATCTGATCCATTCTGCATTGTCTCTAGTCCTTCGCATCTAAATCTCCCCAGCTATGACCGGTTTCTATCAGCAGTTAGCAAATTAATGCGACCGCGTCGATCTTTCTGGTGGATCTTTTGAGTATTGACATCGGCCTATTCGGCTATCCTATTAGCTTCGGCTGTAGAATTTGAATACAGAGTATGTCTTAAACAGTTTCCTCAAAAAGGCCCAATAACATTCTAACTCCAAGCGATCCCACATTTGAGTCACCGACTCGATCTTCGGCGCAGCGATCTCTACCAGACCGCGCTCGATCTTCGGCACCTCTATCTCGGCCATCTCACGATAATATTCTTCCTTGACTGCGATCTTCGATCCGATGGTTTTTCCGACCCGGTGAACTTCGCCATCCAATGCTGGCACTTTCTTCTTCTTTCGTGCCAATCCAGCAGGGTCCTTGGCCGTCTTCCTCGTCTTAATGTCTGGTGACCTCCTAACGAGGAAATAGGGTTTAGCTTTCGCCGGTTTGGTTTTCACCATTGGAATTGTCATCCAGCAGATCGCTCGGCAAAGAGCGACCTGCGGTGGCCCACGAAAGGACCCTAGGAGGTATTTGAGGTTTATCTTCCAGATCGATCTCCCGATCTTCCTCTTTTACCTTCATTCCATCAGAGCCCCTCCCAAAACTCTGATGAGTTGAGGATCTTGTGCTTCTACGTGTCTGCGTCGATTTCTCAGTCGCTGACAAGGCGATCCCAGGTTCTTGCTTGATCTGGACATCTTCGCCTGTGGGCCCAAGGTGAAATTTAGAGGCCTCAAAAGAGCCGGGCACGCGCACCATTGTGGTGAAGTCGATCTCACAAAATCGCTTGTGTGAGTGTCGATCTTCCACTTGCCCAGAATTGCCGACTCACGGAGGGGGTACTCCGATCCGTGTCTCGTTGTATAGCGATGTGCTCACCTTGTGAACCCGTCGGTTGGGATGGCTTGAGCTCTTCGTAATGGCCGTGGGAGATGTCGATCTCGCTAAGAGGTTGGGTTGAGCGTTCGCTTCCGGTGCGGAAATCTTCACACCACGAACGGGGGTTTTGCGATCTTGATCGTGAGTCGCGGCGATCTCTACCTGGAGATGTCGCGATCTCGATCTTGAATCACGCCGATCTCGTTTGTCTTCGGGATCGGGGTCTTTGCTGTGCGGAAATCTTTACTCAGCAAATAATAGTCTTGTGTCGATCTTGCCTTGGGATCGGTCCGATCTGGTCTTGGGACCGGTCCGATCTGGTCTCGGGATCGGACGATCTTGCTGGAAGTGCGCAATTTGGGCAGTTCGGCCCTTGCTTTTCGCCAAGATGAAACGTGCCAGTCTGCCTTGTAGATCGCTTCGATCTTGATCGGTCTTGTCTTGAACACCTTGTCTAGATCTTCTGACCACATGAGCCGTCTCGCGATCTCGTAATTAAATCCTTTTCCTTGCGTTGTTGCCTGTTGCTACCCTAGCAGTTGACTTGAGTGTGAGTACTTGATCGATCCGGGCCAGATATCCCGAGATCGCTCTTCTCGATCTCGGCCAACAATCCAAGATCGTTCTTCTGTATCTCGTAACACGCGTGCCTTGACCCGCCGGGGAAGCCAAATCAATCTTGCCCTCGAAAGAGGGGGGAACGCGCGTCGTGAGCAGAAGAAGTAGAGTACAAGTCTGTTTTTTAACCAACCAAATTAATATCCAACCTATCTTTAAGCCTATTCCCAACTATAGGTCACTCTCCAAGTCCATATCACCTTTAAGCTTGACCTCCCCCTTGAACACGTGTCGAAATTTCGTAACCTGTTCTCCAAAGATAGCGCCAATACTCCCGATATCGTACCTAAACGCCAAAAGGGAGCAAATTCCAAATACGGTACCAAACACCCAATTTTGGTACCGAACAGTCCAAAATAGTATCCAAATGCCGAATGTGTCTAAATCCGCTTTGCGACGTCAATTCAGACAGCTTCCACTGGCTCTTTCGGTCTGAACTTTTGGGCCATCACTCATGGACCTTCATCAAGCATGTCTGTCATGATCCGAAAGCTCCATCATCGATATATCCATAGTCAACAGGGAACATGACCGATCTGATGCCCAAATCAAGATTGTTGAAGATCGACACCGTGCGATCCGGTCATATGTGTTCTCCCGTCCATTAAGCGTACTCCAATACCATGTTCAAGGGTTTATCTGCTCAATAGGACCATCCATAGTTCTCACAACGGTCCCGCGGACTCTTACAATCATCCACAATTCCAGATCGGGCCATAATTAACCTAAATCAGTACTCCATTTGGGAGATCAGTAGAGAGCATCGCCGATCTGCAGGATGTTACACCTTTGTCACAGAGTCATATCACATCACCTGGTCCCAGATTCTTGTCCCAGATCGCTCCATCGAAATCTTCTATTGGTCGTCTTGTCCCAGATCGCTCCGTCTCAGGTCGATCCATATCCATCGATCTGGTAACAGTTGGACCAGATCGCCGATCCCCGTTGAGATCGTTTTCCATCTCCTCATTGGATCGCCAGGTCCCATGGCCTCATTTTTCGCCAGTAAGTGACACCTTAACTGGGTGGCCACCGATCCACGTCCCATCATTTAATTAGTGACTTTACCACAGTACCCTAAGTGGTATGCTGTAGGAGTGGTTGGTGATGCCTCAAGGGTTGTAGAATGCACCAGCCACTTTCAGTCGCATAGTGTCTCAAGTATTAAGACCACTTCGAAAATTTGCTCCTAGCTACTTCGGCGACATTTTTGTCCATACACGCGCTGAGGGCAACCTCAGCGACGTTCAAGTTTATCTTTAACACTGAAACAGATGTTTCAAGTAATGCGAGACAACAAGTTATACGCAAACATGAAGAAGTGTGTAATTTGTGCATCAGAGGTTCCGGTGCTCAGTTGCAACGTGAGTAAATCGAGAGTTCATGCTGACCCAGAAAAAGGTGCCTTAAATTTTATTCTTGGCCCACGCTTTAGAACCCTAAGCGTTAAGTCAATGACTCGGTCTGGCTAATTGCTTGCACAAGTATACAAAAGATTGCACCGATTCTATATTGACTGTGTCTCAACTTTTGATAAAGGAGCCACGCGGTAGTGGCGTCCTGAGCGTAAAGCGGTCCTAGACGCAGTGAAGATAAGCCTAGAGTTAGGTATGGTGGGTTTTTTACTTGGTTGGGTATGGTGGCGGGTAGCGATGTTTGCTTTACACACAATCAAGTGTATCGACACGATTGTTTTTGCGCACTTGTTTTTACTGAGTTGTTTTGATTCCATTGGGTTCGACACACTCCCTTTGATACCTAATGAAGACGTAATGATGATGAAGACGAGACGCCGCCGTTTGGCGTCATTGCAGGCTGAGCATACGAATCAGCGACGATGATTGGTGTGTGTCTGTCGTTCATGAAATACGAACCGTAAGTCGTAGCTACAGACGACAGAGCAAATTATCTCTATTTTGTCATGATATGGGCATTCACGCGTAGACGTCACATGTCGCGTATGACTTACAACGAGTACAGACTGTCCAGCATCATATGGCTTGCCGATGCAGAATCTTGGACTACAAAGTGCGGTGACTGCTACACTTCGTAGTCGCTGAGCCGTCCCGCATTTGCAGACGTGGCAGTCTCTGCCTGTCAAAATGACAAGAATGTTGTTGAGGCGCAACGCTCTATCGACCGCAGAGCAGCATATCGTTCCTGCGACATGCATGATCCGCACTAGACCGCCTTTGATTGCTTGATACTATCTTGCGACTGGTCAATCAACCAAGAACTGCAGCGTCGCCCTCGTTTGGAAAACGACTTCATCATCTTACGTGGTGTCATAATTCTTCAGAAAGCCTTCTACAGCTGAATCACTTACGAAAACAGCACCAGTAACTTTGGAATCAAAGCATCAACCCTATCAGTTAGGTTTTTCTTACGACCAACATGTTATTGATCGTGCGTAACTTCACGCACGAAAATATGATTTCCTACTGCGCCGAGGGGACCAAGCAGCCGTGGTGGCGTAGGAGATACGCATTGTGGGGCTGGAATGTCGCACTGGAGCAACTTGCGGGACCTGAAACAATTCAAATGTCATTTTTCGTTCTCGCCAATGCGCATCGACGAGTGACCACTGGAGCTCCAATTGCATTGAGCTGTTCTGCTTTGCTACAACGGTCACTTATCGTGTCAGTCGCTGCCGTCTCAATCACTGATGCACAGAGCACCTACATAACAACACTGATAACGAAATGTTTTTTGTCATGTATTGAACGGTCAACGCTAAGCGATTGCATCTACCCCAAACTACGACGCGCGACTTAATTAACTAAGCCGAGGATCTATTGTAGAAGTCGAGATGTGCTGTCGACGACACGCCGTCTCACCTCGAATACGACGCATCACTCAGGTAGCAACGGCTGTTTCGGTCACCGTACCGGGTCGTTCAATTCCCCACACCTCTTTCAACATGTCGTCGAGGTCCTTGTCTTCTTGCTTTAGAGCTTCGTCGACGAACTTGCGAATTTGATCCTCAGATGCTCCCTCTAGCTTCGCTTTTATTTGTTCGGTGGTGTACACCTCGTTGCTAATGTTTTGGTATCCCGCATTAAGTAAAAACTTCAGATGGGCCCTGTGTCTAGCAATGTACCTCAGCCACTGATAGACAACAGCTGGATGATCGACGAGATCCTCCACTTTGATTCCAAGGGCCAGGAAAACATCGTCCGGCGTCACGATGGACTCCGCCCACTCATCGCGCATTAGCTTGGAGGTTTCTGGCGAGCAATCCTTGAGCAGAGCTCGGTAAAACACGACCGAGAGTCGTTTCACTGGCGAACTCTCATCTTGAACTCGTAGACGGTTCGCAACCTCCAGCAAGTTGCTCTCGCTCACCAGATAGTTCTTCAACATCTCGAACAGTTTGAGGTCAGTCAGTTCCTCCCCCTTTTTCTTGTTCTTTGATCGATACTTGACAGCATAGTCAAGCCAACGCCGGCCACCTACTCCATTCGAGAATGCATCGGCTGTAGGGTGAAGGTCATACTTCGAAAACATACGCCTTGGGTGCACGTTCAGTATCTCCTTAGCCCACAATGACCCCTCTTCTATTGCCTCCGCCAGATGATAAGCTATAATAAGAAGAGGGTAAAATCTCTCCTCGCTTCCTTGGCCTTCACGATCGACCACCGAGACGGACGTGGCGTTGTCCTGGAAAGGTACGGTGGTGACGCTGAGCGGGAGAGCGTTGTCCTGGAGACCGCTGGCTTTCGTTGATGCTGCACTTTTTCCCAAACAAAGAATAGCACAAGCAATCGGGAGCAAATGGTGGGGCACGTACATACTGGCTCGTGAGGAGTTCTGGACGAATTTCACAATGAGACACAAACAAATACTGCAATTTTTCTCGCGTCATACTGTCCACTGATTCGATTTCCCACCCATTTTTGGCAATGATCCGCGGCCAAACAAACCTTCGTTGGGTGATGTGACTTGCGCGTTCATAAACCAGTATGTGAACCCACGATCAGTCTTCTCTGACGCCGCATCTATAGTGCATCAAGCCAAAGAGAGCGGAGAACAAGGCTGATGCCGTGGTCGGAATGTTCGGGGAAGTGTAGTAAACGACTCGGTCAACACGGAGGCAGCCAGTAAGGATTGGAAGCGCATTGACATACCTTTTTATCACCGCTTCGGTGCAAGCGCAGACGGATTGTACCGGCTATTCAAGTGTACCAGAGTCACTTTCTGTTCATAGACACGGCAAAGGAAGGCAGGCGCCATGCATGTGGGACGCGTTAATCACCTCTAACTGAAAGACCATCTGTCTCCAACTCTATCTCCAACTACACAAATATAAATAATCAGTTGCTTTTGGGTCGTAATATGTGTACGTCTTGACAGATGGCAAAATGACAGCGGTGCATTGCACGAAATTCTACACTAAGAGAAGCTCAAAGAACACAATCAAACTTATGAGGAAACCACGACCTTGCCCGGGTCCCCGCCGATTCATTAGGAGGCGAACTAGCCCCCGAAAGCCGAGCATTGCATCCAATGTGTAACCTCCCACGCAAGTGCATTCCTATGGATGTACGCGGACCAACGGAGCAAAACCATCGGGACACGGTAGGACCGTGATCCGCCTACGGCGCACTAAATTTCGCTCTAACATGTAGCTAATCAATTCTTCTGCAACTTCAGGGCGATATGTTAGAGTTGACGAGCTCTACCGCGACTGAGCACACCTGCTGGCAGAACAAGATTAAATCGAATTGGTTTTGCACACAACTGCGTCACCAGTTTTCGTTGATGTTCAGGGGTCTGACATGGTTGGTCTATCTACATGACCTGCGAGACCATCCTTGGATTGCGCTAGACGACAGAAGATTGCGCCAGACGAACGAAGATTGTGTCAGCCTTTTTATATGATTACACCAGACTATCCTACCAAGTTTGACACTCCTCCTCAATATATTCATTCTCCATTTCACTACATTAGACTCGAGCCCCGCTGTAAGCCACGGGCCGGGTTTGTCAGGTCAGTGGACAACGCCAGGATCTAGAAGGCGATCACAGGACAAGAATTTAAAGATAACGGTCGACTATTTCGCTCAGCATGACAGTCTTGTGATTCTTTACCGACGCGCATGTCTACAAACGATGAAAATATGCACCTACACACTGCTTTTGGGCTTATCTGTATCATGTTTAGCAGGATGACTGGGAAACAAGTGAGGATACGCCGTCGCGCTCAAGCTGCTGATGGGTGCACGTCATAAAGAGTGCTAGGTTGCAAAGGTAAAGTGGTGTACCTGCTATTTGGATATTTATATGAGCAAGCGCCCTGGGGTCAATGATATGCAGTGGACTGGTGAAAATGTGTGCAAGCAGGAGATGCTAAGGTAACAAAGCCACAGTTTTAACCGCAGCTGTCCACCAATGTCTAACTGTAACGGGGTGAGCCCGTTTCATAAAAATTGATATCTTTGTATCAGTTTTTGAACATTATCTATTTAGATAATGTTTTAATTGACATTACCCGTAAGGAGTAAGGTTGAAGGAACATTACCCCCGACCGAGGGTAATATTTTTTTGATGGGTTGCTGCACCTGATGATTGATGTACCGTGAACATCAACCAATTTAACCACCAATCGCTGCTAGACGCGCGCAATGGGTGGTGAGTAGACGTCATCATTGGTTTAGTTATATTAATACAATTAAGTCAGGACAAACAGAAAACAAGAGTTATAGGACTTAATTATATTAGATAAAAAGTTTTATTTTTACCACGACTAGATGCTTCACCTTAGTCGATTATCTTCCTCTACACGGTGTTATACATGGCAGGGCACTGACCTTCACTGTTGTCAGTGAAAGTTAACTCCGTACTGGTAAGACCAGTACGTAGTCGCCGGTGCCCCGTTACACTGGGCCAGTAGAACTGTGAAGCCCAGGCGCTACCCTGATCACCGTTGCCACCCCACTTGTTGACCCCGAACGATCCTGGCTGGTTTACAAGTGGAAGTTGGTCAGATATAGACTTTCATAGTTCTTTTTCTACAAAACAAGACGATTCAATGAGCGCACGGTGGGAGGTGGTAGCTATTTAGTATGTTAACACTGGTCACAAAAGGGCCAAATATGTAAATTTAACCCACTTGCTGCCTCACTTGCTGCCTCACTTGCTCCCTCACTTGCTGCCTCACTTGCTGCCAATGTCTATTTCACTGGATGCCGTCTAGCCTGGGAGAGGCTAAATACACCTAGCATTATTGCTAAATACTCCGTCGCCTATCCATTAGACCTAATGTTCATATGGCAACCGTTGTAGTACATTCAGGCACCTCACTTCGAATATTGCAGGATAAGCTGATCGGAAATGCACCCTAAACGGAGCCAGGTCACGCTGGTTCAAATAAATTATAGAATAAGGTAATCAAAAATGCACCCGCGGCTTAACGCTGCAACCGTATATAAAATATGATGGTCCTTCATGTGCTGCAGCACAGCTTCCGTGTGTAATTTTCCACCAAGTTCCTTTCTCTTTGCCTTCTAAAAGATATTGTGGACATTCTTGGCATTTAAAAAACATCGGCCTCCTCAAACTGGTTTACAATAACCTATAAGAATCACATACAGACAAAAAACAGATAATGGCCTGCTGTATATGACTTGAACACGCACACATACCCGTGGAGCAGCTCCATACTGATGCATCTATACTGCCTGATAATTAATATCGTCAATTATCGTGTCGAACGTCGCGCCGCCGGTGGCGCTGAGGGCATGGTCTTCCTGATACAACGATAGTGGCCGGTGTATCAGTTGTCCATTAAAAACGTTGACCAGGCAATTTCTTCGGAGGCGTGCTTAACATACATGATCACGAGCTCGCATAAACAGTTGGCATTTTCTGTTCCACGATCTCGCATTGACGTGTGCTGTAACGGGGTAGCCCGTTACATGAAATTGTCACTAAGGATAAAATGACGATAAAGAATATAACGTCGAATATTCTTTTAACAATATCACAGACATGGTGATATTGTTGAGATGACCGAAGGGTCTACTCATTGGTTGATATCGTGATGATATCAACCCACCAATCGCCGCTAGACGCGCGCAATGGGTGGTGAGTAGACGTCATCATACATTTAGTTATATTGGTATAATTAAGTCAGGACAACAGAAGATTCAAGGAGTTATAGGACTTATATCAATACAGTTTTACTTTTACTGGAGACCAGTCTGACTACTTAGTCTCCTTTCCTTCCTCTGTGTTTCTTTAACACCTAGCAGGGCACTGTCAACCACTGTTGTCAGTGGAAGTGTACTCCGTACTGGTCAACCAGTACGAGTCAATAGTGCCCCTTTACATGTGCCGACTGTGGGATCTCCTATGATGTTTGTTCTGTCATTTTGTGAGAAAACTGCGCTTGGGACCAATCGAACAGCCGCGGGAAACACTAATAGCAAAGCCTTAGCGTACGGCGTCCTGCTAATAGCCTCTACAGCCTTCTTTTGACTGATAAAAGGCCCGACCAGTGGAGATTCTTCACAGATCCTTGAGATATCGGCGGCAGGACTAGGCCCAGCATCAACTTGGAACCTACCCTGATTGTCAGCGACGACAGAATTAGTATCCGCATCAACAACCGTAGCAGTGGCAGCAGAAGTAGTGGAGGTGGATGAAGGGCTCATCACCATGCGTTAGACAACGAAGATTTTCTTGTTGAATTGACGTGGCTATGTTTCAGGTGCCTTTCAGCTTATATTATCCTGTAATATTCGAAAAGACGTGGCCCGAATGTAAGACAACGGTTGCCATATAAACGTTAAGTCTTATGGATAGGCGGCGGTGTATTTAGCAATAATGCTAGGTGTATTTAGACTCCCCCGTCTGGCCTCTCCCCTGGAATGTCGCAAGGCAGATTAGCAACGCCAGTGTCGCATGATCCAGTTCCTCAACGCAGCTCATCACCATCAGCGTCAGGCATATGCCTTGCACGTTCTTTCGAATCGTGATCACTCTTCAATTCGCTGCACACGGGGCAAATTTGACTGAGGACCCGGGCTAGCCACATTGAGTCCGTTCTAGCGAGAGCGTCCCCGGACGCGACGGGTGGTGGTCGTGTATCGATGGAAGATACCAATGGCGGTGTAGGGGGTGGGGAGGCTCCACGAGAGCCGTTTCCTCCAGACCCGGGGGGGCGTGGGCAGGGGGTGGAGCCCTCGGCGCAGCGCTGCGGCGGCGACGAGAACGGTCCCCCCAGCCGCAGCCCGCAAATCTTCAGCGGACTCTCGGACGGTGTTGTCACCACCGGGGAGGAAGGCACTTCGGGGGATCATTCACGTAAGGGAGTGGAACCTCTTCCCGGTGCGCGTATTCCAGCTAATGGGGAAGGATGTTTACCGTTGGGCGGCCAAACGACGACAGGGCCCAGCGAGATGGCGATGCCTGACTCAAGGGGATTGACCCCCAAGAGATCAGCACACGGCGGTGTAGGATCAAGGACCCCTCTGCACACGCAACCGAGCGCGAACATGACTGGTCCAAGTGGGCCGGTGATCGCTCCACCTCCGCAGATGAGTGATGATCAGATATTTGCGGCGGTGACGGCTGAACTCCAGTCCGCTCCAGAGGCGGTTCAACGGGAGGCGTGGAAAGCCAATGTGGCGGCTTTGTTTGCGGCGAAGATGACGGCGCTCAAAATCCCACCCGAGCGAGTCCCGCCGCAGAAGCAGCGGTACCCGAAGTTGAAAGGGGCCGAGTCGGCTCAGCTTCTCCGATTTTTTGAAGAATTGAGCGTCGTGGATGGGTGCTCATATGTACAATGGCGTACGTACGCCATGGGCATATGTCGGGATTTGTACAACTCTATCTGGTCTTTGTCGACCATATTCGAGAGTATGACCAGCAAAGTCAAGTGGGCGAGAAAACCTGTATGAATCCATGGGCTGCAAAAGTCACGGGTATTCGGGCGTCCGGTCAATCCGCGGCCACAGGCCCAAGGACGGAACACTATCAAATGTTTATGTTTAATCCATCCAAATATGAAGCGGAGGAAATTGAACGGCTAAGAGCCATCTGTGCGTCTTCGGGTGGCGACAGGTCGGGACCGCGCCTCCGAACTGGAAGTGACGATGAGTGGAAGATCATTCAGGGTTTGGCTGAGGGGCATATCGTCAGCCGAGGTTTGCCTCTTTCTCTCAAAAGAATTTTTACTGCGAAGGACCGCTTACGATTCCTGACTACAATCCAGCTGCAGGTGGAAGGGGAACTGTCGTTTTCTCTGGATGGATCTGGAACAATCGCCGCGAGTAGACAGCATACTCAAGCGTTGAAAGAAGACGTATTGCTGGCGGCGGAAGGGTTTAAAGTGAACCTAGAAGACCTCCATCTGATGCTGAGTCAAGTTAAGACTATCAGTTACAACGCGGGTCAACGGACCCTCCATTTCTTTTTCTTTACCCGAGCTGCGGCGAAGAAATTTCAGAGCACGGTGGTCCCTTTTAGGCGTCGTCTGTATCGGCTGTGCAATCCGCATGCTCCGTGCGCGGGGTCGGTGTGGAATAGACAGGTTGGATCCGATGGGACGCGACTGACGAAGGTTACTGAATACGTCGTATTGCTGTATAACGTCACACGTTTCATGGATATCGGGCGGCTTACCGCATTTTTCACCAAACATATTAGCGCTGAGGTGGAGCTGGAAAATTTAGACGCGTGCACACCAAACTCTCGCACATCCACTGTATGGAAATTAACGGTCCAAATGGCTGGTTGCCCCGAGTTCCTTCGCGGGATCGTGCGCATTGGATGGTATGGTACCTACATCGTCCTCGAGCATCCTGTGGTGGGTCGGAGGCTGCAGTGCTTGGGTTGCGGGACTCTTGGCCATCCCGTCTCACGCTGTAGTTATAATGCCAAACAATTACAGGGTCAGGGGTGTGTGCTTGCATCAAAAGGGGAAGTCTTGGCTCTCGAGGATCTCGCTGTTCCATTTCACAGATTCAAAGAAATGAAGGCTGTGGCAACTCAACGTATCGGCCTGCAGGACCAAGCGGATAGGGTGGCAGAATCGTCGGTTCAGCCACCCGAGGTACACGTCCGCACGCCAGACCAAGGTCTCGCTCCTGCTGGTGTGCCAAGTGTGCGGGTTGCCAGCTTACGTATCAGCGGCGGCGAGGCTTTTTACCCGGCGCTCACGATCAGTCCCGCTGTCGTACCCACCCCAGCGCCGAACCGCTCTGGGTTACGGTGTCACGCCGTGGTCGCACGAACCGGCGTGGGACCGGTAAAGCGGTGGGTAACAGTAGGGCTACTATGCCCAATCTGTTTGCAGTCCACGCAGCTTCGGACGCGGCGTTGGACGGTACAGGAATGACGACGTCGGAGGATATTGCTCCGCGGGGTGGCGAGAAGCGGGTTGCCGAGCGTGAGGCGGTTTCTGTATCGATATCAACCCAGTGTTCTGAGATGCGGCTGCGCATTCTTAACAGTCCAACGCCACAGGTTCCGGAAAAGCCTCAATTGGTGAATTTAAAGCAACAGGAGCGTGCTGAAGTACGACGGATTCTTCAGGGGGGAAACATTCTTATAGAGCAGCTCATGGAGCTTCCCGCTGCGACCGAGTTAGCAAAATTTACCGAAGAATCGATTCTCCGAGTGTTGCGGTTGTATCCTTGTCGCAACACCGGTGACAGGGCACTGTCTGGCTCTTGCGCTGGTACAAGCGCTGGCCAACGATGACTTGGGGCAAATGGAGAATTTACTGCATCGCGCTGCGGCGTGTGTGAAACGGGGTATTAAATACGCGGGTCAACTCCACCTCATGGACCAATTTGACCATGCGGAACGGCTGAAAACCCTGGTGAGTGTACGTCGCGGCCGGATGGCGATTTCCCTTCGAGAGTCGATTAAACAGTTTAAATGGTATCTGGAGGAGTATGCTGCCAGTGCCACGGAGCGAGTCGGGCCAGTCGATCACCATAATTGGGGCGGGAGTGACATGCTTCTTACGGCAGCCAATTTTTTTGCAACGTGATGTCTACGTGATCGGGCAGCCGAATGAGTCTCATCACCTCTGGCACTGCTGCATCTATCGGCCTAGCTCGATGAAAAAGGCTAACAGGATGGTGGAGACAGGGGAGCAGCTTATCTTGACTGTCTCGGAATGTGTCGAGCGGATCGCGACAGCCAAAGAGCGAATACGTCGCATTTCCCACTAGTCCTCCGGTACACAGACCGCCACTATTCAACCTATGTTCACTGTACGCTACCTGGACCTAGCGACTCGGCGGTCTCGGTCAATCATGGCAGCGGTGAGGACATGGGTATATCGGAAGGGGAGATCAGCGATAAGGAAATGAAAGGAGAAGATGATGGTCAGGCAGGCGTGGTCGGTGCTGCCACTCCACCCCGCTGGGGAGGGGACATAAACGAGCTATCGACAAGACTAGCTGCAGGCGCCATAACGTACACATTGCGCCGCGATATCCAGTTATTTCTCAGGTGCTCGGTGGCGTCTCGTTATCCCGATCTTCTCGAGTTCTGGGTGAATACGGTGGCCGCTTACTCACCGGACACCCAGCTCCGCTTACTGGCGACATATCTTCGGCGGATCAGTTCGAAGGATACCCTACGTATGCAATTGGAGTATAATATATCGGATACGGTCCTTAATCAATGGCAGTCATGGGCGGCCGAACGAGGGACTCATTCGGACGTCTGTGTGGGGGACGCGGAGCATCAGCAGTCGCAGGGTCCATTTCCCGTCGAGCCAATACGTGATTTTATCCCAGCGGACAGAGACGCTAGGACCGTCCTTCCACCATTGCTCCGAGAGCTACCATCTCAGGGGTCTCCTGCTTCCAGTACCGATCCTGTCCAGGCGTTAGTGTTGCCGTCGATGGACAGTGGCCATACCAGCATCGTAATTCGTCACCGGTCCACGCCACTGGTCACTCAAGGTGGTGCGCGAGCGCAACACCTGTTGCAGCCTGACGGCAGAAGGCCTATTCCTTTACTCGTTGAAGGTATTCGGTCCTGGCAGGACATGTGGCAAGACCTTGGGTCGGAGTGGCCCAGGACAGCACTTACCAGGTTTCCAACGGTTGGGTCTAGTAACAGCAACTGGAACAAGGTGGCTCAAATGGAACCTCGGCGTCTTCTCACCATGTTCCGACGCTTCCCTGCTAAGTGCCAACTGCTGCAGGTTTTGAGCGATGCAACCCTTGTGGCGTGGTCCGCTGTCTGGCGCCAGGAATGTATGTACGATCCTCCCGGCGCGTATAGGGACCGCACGTCTGACCATGTCACTAAAAGCTGGCTTGATGGTTGGATGGAAAGAAATTCGCGTCAAATCGCCCGGTCCTCACTGGCGCCTCTCATCGATAGTTCGGATGATTGGAGGAGGTTAAAAGACAGCAAATACGGGGGCGATGGCCTTCTCCGACGGTGTGATTTACCCCATAAGGTGCACTTAGCTCGTCACATCCTTTGTGTGCTGCTATACAATGCCGAGATAAAGTCTATCACGGGGAAGGAAGCCGCACACGACACTGGGATTGCGTCGCAGCTACATCTTCATTTTGCGGGTATGAAAGCCGTGCCGGATTATCGGCCGGCTTTTACGGAGATGGTCACCAAGGATGACTGGTCGATCCTTGACACGTTTTTTGAGCACTCTATCACCCAGATGAGTGCTCTAAGTCCACACCAGTACTAAGGGCAGTTACATGAGAAGCCCGCACCCTGCGTCGATTCCACTTGCGGCTCGGGTCGATATATATGGCGTGTACCATCAGCTTAAACTACCCGAAAGCTCTATAGCAGACGGGGGCGCCGCAGTCTCTCGCCGGGGGAAGGTTACCCGAGTTGACACTCAGAATGTGATGGGATTTACGAAAAAATCACGTGCCAATTGGTTTGAGTCCTGGCGGAGACTGCCACCAAGTCAGCGCCCGATTGGTCGTTGCATACAAGAAACGCATGTGGATAGTGAGGAGTTAGCTACGGGGTTACAAAACGCCTGGAAGCGCCGGTGGGGTCAACCTCAGCATGTCTTAGGGTCCCCCCTCTCATACTGGAGTGTCGGTGCTAACAAGACTGGGGATGTGGCAATATTACTCGATCCTCGTCGAGCAGCCGATGCACGGCCATGGAATCCTGAATTATGGACTTCCCGGGTCATCTGCGTGGAGATTGGAGATGTCCTTCTGGTGAATATTTATGCGCCGAACAATCCAGCCGAACGGGAGCACTTTTTTCTCACCTAAAGGGTTGGCCGTGGCCGTGCCGAGATATCATCCTAGCGGGGGATTTTAATTCAGTCCAGAGTCCACAACTTGACCGCTTAGGTGGCCAACGTACTGGCCGTCCTAAGAGTGCTCAGTTAGGCCACTTGCTCACTTTACTTGGGCTCGAAGACGCCAAAGTATTGTCGGCCCCGACAGATGACGAAGATCCTCCAGAACCGACGGAATTTTTTACATACTGGACCAAATCGTCGGCTAGCCGAATAGACCGGTTTTATGTACCGCTTGGGTGGACGTCTACGGTGCAATGGGTGGAGGTGACCGAGCCGGCCGTCGATTCTGACCATCAACGGGTGTCTCTTGTTCTAGGGCGGGGGGAGCTGGATGCATCGAACAGTCGCAGGGTACGCCCTGACCAGTACCCTATATCGTCCCAGAACTCGGCGTTGGTGCAGCGGGCACTGCTGTCAGATCTAATCGATCGAAATGTGGGGAGGAACCCGTCAACGCGAACATGGGATGATCATGTTCTCCGGTGGTCGCTGCAATTAAAACCGTGCGAAAGCGCTTAAAACAACGTCGCCAAAGGTATGTGGATAAGATTCAGTGGCAAAAGCGAGCAGGTCTCACACGTCGACAGCAGATAATACACGCACATCGGCTGACTCTTCGTGAGGAGTGTATGATTCAAGAGGGACGTCGGCTTGAGCGTACGCCGGATCGACTACGCTGGGATTTAAAGCGCGTTTCTGATTGGGAGCGGGACCAGACGGTAACCAACCTTCACCAACTCCATGGGGCGGCCTTTTCGCGCCATGCCACAGTCGCTGACAAGCTTGCCACGGAGTGGCAGCCAATCGTAGGCCGGAGTCACAACACTACACCACATTGGCGCATGCGTCAGGTGTTCGATGCATTCGTCACGATTCCGGCGACTCGAAAAATGACTTCGATTGACAATTCCTTTTTGCTTCAACCTATTTGCTTGGATGAGGTGGTCGCAGCAATAGCTGGCCTTCATCGGCACAAGGCGGCGGGGCCTGATGGGCTTAATAATGACTTTTATAACGACAATCAGGCAATATTGGCGCCAGCGATGGTCATCCTCGGCAACGAATTACTGAATGGAAAGGGTCCGCCACCTTCTTTCCTAGAGGGACTCATTATTCCACTTCGCAAAAGGGGGACTCAGTTAATGCGATGGATTACCGGCCGATATTGCTTCTTGAAACGGGGTACAAAATATTTGCTAAACTTATGGCTACACGGCTGCAACAAATAATGCCTAAGGCCGTCGGTGACAACCAGCAAGGTTTTGTGCAGGGGCGACAGATGATGAAAACAGTCATGATGATGCTGGCCGCAGTCTCAACTGCTCGGGCTGAACCTGACTTGGAAGCACATCGTAGCCGAGTAATTCTGTTGCTGGATTTTCGAAAAGCATACGACACAGTGGCACGCGATTTCCTCTTTCACGTCCTGAAAGAGTATGGATTCGCTAGTCCTTTCATTCACATGATTCGGAAATTACATGAGTCTACCACAGCTAAATTTTTGGTCAATGGATCCCTTTCTCAACCAGTGGAGATTACTTCGGGTATTCGGCAGGGCTGCCCGCTAGCGCCGTTACTGTTCATCTTGGCGGCGGAGGTTCTGTCGTTGGCGATCACACAGGCCGGTGATATTCAAGGGGTCGAGGTGCCCGGAGCACACGGTGAGCGACACATCTTTTCCGCGTTTGTCGATGACTCCACTGTGTTTCTCCAAGAAGCGAGCAGTCTTTCACGCGTCCTTGACATCGTCGCAGCTTTCGGACGTTTATCGGGGCTCACTGTGCAGCCTACAAAAAGTCAGGTCATCTTTTTGAATACGGCGGTAGCTTTGCCTGCCTATGAGGGGATACCTGTGTTGTCCCATGGGGCAACAACACGGTATCTCGGCCATCAAGTGGGTACAGGGGTACTTTGCGATGCGAATTGGGCTATACGAATTCGGAACGTGCGTCGTCGACTTGCGACGGCAACTCGGGTGGCGACTAGTGTTTCTCTCCGTGTGCTCATCCTAAACGTCATAATGCCCCCAGGCATACTCTTTACTTCAGCGGCCTTTGATATGCCTCAATGGGCGGAGGATGAGCTCCGCAATCTTCACAAACAATTTTTGTGGAAACATGCTACTTCAACGGAGCGCAGTCGCCACAAAGTTAACCCGGGCATTCTGTACGCACCGCGAGCAGCAGGTGGTGTCGGCTCGGTATCGATAGCAGTGGCTGTGCAAACGCAACGGATGAAACACGCTCTTCTCTGGCTCACCCAGAGGCGAGACCGGTACGTCGCGGCGTGGATATTTTAGACGTTTCGGGATGCTCGGTGTGACGCCTCTTTCGTGATCACACCACTCAACCCTCTTCATTCTCGCAATCAACAGAGCAAGATACATGGTGCTAGGTTGCGGGCAGATATTTGAGCTTGGCTTCGACCGTCGGATCTGGAGCATAGAGCCATACAAAGTCGGCATCGTTAACATATGCAAAGGCTCATCTCACAGGTCACGTGCTGGCGGGACGGCGACCGGCTGACGATTTGGTTAGCGGAGCCGCTTCCTGCAAAAACCTGGGAGATAACGGCCGTGACCTGCCGGTATTGGCCTACATATTCGTGAGCGGACAACCCATGGCTCTGCGATGGTACAGGTCATCAATTGTTGAGGACGAAATACGACCGCATCCGGCCGTGCTCACTGGAAGAACTTGCGTTTGAGCGTAGCGGCCCAACGACATATGTTTGTCACGTCCCGTTGGCTGAGGGGGCGGCCAAGCACCACACGGATCGGAAACTTGGGCGCTGGGCTTTGGCAATTCTGATGGGTAGTCCTTCGTTGGCTATAGGCCGGACATTCGATGTTTAATCCACTGTGACTCTTCGACACCCCCCGACACTCCGGCTATCGTACGACTGGGTGCTGGACGGACCTGGAGCAGTCCGAGGGGTGGCACGTACGCCGCTGAGTATGTCCTCACGGGGTGTCATGCTCAAGCAGGAGGCCGACGGAACAAATTGGACAGTCGACGACTCCGATATACATCCGGAGTATGGCCACGATGTGGCCGTCCTCCGGAGCTCGCAAAAGTCTCTCGGTCTGGTCATGGAAGCTCATCCTTCGATCCACAGCTTTCCGTGGGATGTCCCACCAAACGTGGCGAATCGGCACGTATTGCGATACCTCAAGCGCCAGCCGTATTGCAAGGCGAAGACGGGGCTTGGCAAGGCATTAGAAGGTATACTCCAAAAGTTACAAACCTGTGCAGCCCGGGGGGACTGGCACTCGGCAGTTCTTCATCAAACACCGAAGCAGCTGTGGGGCCACGAAAACGCGATAACGGAGATCAAGTGTGGGTCTATTACCGTCTGGTACTTCACCAGCTCAAAATTATTCTTCCCGGGCAGGGAACTCGACAACAGTTGCCGACGGCTGACCGTCTGTGCAGGTCACAAAGAGACACTGGAGCACATTTTCTGGACTTGTCCGGTGGCCCAGGGATGCTGACAGGCGATTCTGTCCCCGTGGTATGGGTCCGATGTGCGGCTGAATGACGTGAGTCAGTATGCGGGGAACTGCTTAGCACGAAAGCCGCCGCCTATGTCTAGGACATTGTTACAACGGCTGCAGCGGGCTTTTGGCGATACTGTGGAGGGATATATTGCTCAGTGGAAGCGCATCTGGTGGATCCTATGTTCCGTCTGTATCTCGACTCTTTGGATACAGCGCAATCGGGCTGTTCACGAGCAGCAACGACTCTCACTCCAGGGTAGTGTCCTAGAGTTTTCCTCTAACGGACTTCGGCAATTACGGGCGCTATCGGCACGAGAGCGCCGAACGCAACACTCCAGGGTGCAAGGCATCCGGCTGTGGCAGTGCATTGAGTTACTCGATGGTACCACTGCGCCTGCAAGAGCATCACATCATGTGGTGAGTCACGTATAACCACCGGGCAATTCGACACCGGCGTTGCTAATCTGGCTTAGGACATTTCAGAGGTCTTGTTCACATTGATACCGTGTAATAGACTGTCTGTTCCTCTCTCTCTTTCGAATCGTGATTCCCGCTTGGCACCCTGGTTCGGACACGGACAGCGGCGAACACCTCCGGAGAGCCAGTAATGCGGCCCCCTGACCTTGGACGGAAAGTCTCCCGTTTGTGGGGTCGAGGTTGAAACGGGGGAGGCCTTTCTTCGCTACGCGTGCTACGGGAGGCAACGCAGCGTGCGGTTCGAAAGAAAAGCGGTTCCCTGGCATCCCGCGGTACGGGGAATGCCAACAAAGATCGACATATTCGTGCCTACGTTAGTTCCTGCTCTTCACGGCTTGCTTTCCCTCGCGCCGACTCGTTTGCCGTGCGCGAAACCCACCATTACGAAGTGAAATCTCCTAAGAACGTGATGACCTGTGGAGATCCAGTACCGGTCTTTTATGTAGAGTAAGCACCAGGCCACGATACTCTTCGTCTCGTGGTGCGCCTGGGCACGTCTGCACCAGATTGTGCTATGGGATCAACCCGAAGAGCAGAGCAAGTCGATCACCATGGAAGCGGCCAGGGATTACGTCTAAATGGCACGCTACGACTTCCCAAGTAGAACATGTCTCCTAACCATGCGTCCTCTGCCCCCTGAAGCAGATAGAAGCGCGACGCGCATTCAGCCCAGCCATCCAGTCAAGAGTGCGTACAGAGTTTAAACCCCGGACTTTGTCAACAGTCATTATCACGTGGCCTTTTGGAGTATCGGGCCAGCAGACTGAGCAAGCGTGGAGATTGATGTAGTCTAGGTAGAAGCACACCGATATCGGATAGTCATAAGCTCTTAATCGACGTTCAGGTTCACACACTCACGTCTGGAGTATCGGGCCAGCAGAATGAAGAACGTGGTAGGAGAAAGTTCGTGTCATGGTAGATGACTGAGGTGGTTTCCACACAGCACACATCTTACGAGTTTAAGCAGACGATCTGGCCTCTCTCTCATACGTATTGTACGCCTCACTAACGTTCAGTAAATTGTCCACCTCTCTCCAGTCTACTTGCACATGAATGGCGCCTGCCTTCCTTTGCCGAGTAACAGAAAGTGACTCTGGTACACTTGAATAGCCGGTACATTCTGTCTGCGCTTGCACCGAAGCGGTGATAAAAAGGTACGCCAATGCGCTTCCAATCCTTACTGGCTGCCTCTGTATTGACCGAGTCGTTTACTACACTTCCCCGAACATTCCGGCCACGGCATCAGCCTTGTTCTCCTCTCTCTTTGGCTTGATGCACTATAGATGCGGCGTCAGAGAAGACTGATCGTGGGTTCACATACTGGTTTATGAACGCGCAAGTCACATCACCCAACGAAGGTTTGTTTGGGCGCGGATCATTGCCAAAAATGGGTGGGAAATCGAATCAGTGGACAGTATGACGCGAGAAAAATTGCAGTATTTGTTTGTGTCTCATTGTGAAATTCGTCCAGAACTCCTCACGAGCCAGTATGTACGTGCCCCACCATTTGCTCCCGATTGCTTGTGCAATTCTTTGTTTGGGAAAAAGTGCAGCATCAACGAAAGCCAGCGGTCTCCAGGTCAACGCTCTCCCGCTCAGCGTCACCACCGTACCTTTCCAGGACAACGCCACGTCCGTCCCGCTGGTCGATCGTGAAGGCCAAGAAAGCGAAGAGAGATTTCTACTGTTTTTTTGTATGGTTTTTGCTGAGTTTGCGGAGAGGCTTCATTATTGGCATTTGAACCTTTTGGAGAGACTGAACGTGCACCCAAGTCGTACGCTGTCGAAGTTTGGCCTTAGCCCTACAGCCAGCGGTTTTTCGAATGGGGTAGACGGCCTGCAATGGCTTGAACATGCTGTCCGCTATCGATCGAAAAACAAGAAGAAGGGGAAAGAATTGACTGACCTTGAACTGTTCAAGCTTTTAAAGAAACGTCTAGTGCACGACGAAAACTTGCTGGGGGTTGCGGACCGTCTACGATTTCAAGATGAGAATGCGGCAATGAAGCAACTCTCGGTCGTGTTTTACCGAGCTCTGCTCAAGGATTGCTCGCCAGCAACCTCCAAGCTCATGCTCGATCACTGGCTGGGGTCCATGGTCGTGGTGCCAGACGATGTTTTCCTAGCCCTTGGAATCAAAGTGGAGGATCTCGTCGATCATCCAGCTGTTGTCTATCAGTGGCTGAGACACATTTCGGAATACAGGAAAGCTGGAAGCAACAAGTACACCGTCGAACAAATAAAAGAGAAGCTAGAAGGAGCATCTGAGGATCAAATTCGCAAGTTCGTCGACGAAGCTCTAAAGCAAGAAGACCCGGTCCTCGTCAACATGGTGAAAGAAGTGTGGGGAAACAAACAACCCGCTACGGTGACCGAAACAGCCGTTGCTACCTGAGTGATGCGTCGTATTCGAGGTGAGACGACGTGTCGTCGACAGCACGTCTCGACTTCTACAATAGATCCTCGGCTTAGTTAATGGAGTCGCGCGTCGTAGTTTGGGGTAGATGCAAACGCTAAGCGTTGACCGTTCAATACATGACATAAAACATTTCGTTATCAGTGTTGTTACGTAGGTGCTCTGCGCATCAGTGATTGAGACGGCAGCGACTGACACGATAAGTGACCGTTGTAGCAAAGCAGAACAGCTCAATGCAATTGGAGCTCCAGTGGTCGCTCGTCGATGCGCATTGGCGAGAACGAAAATGACATTTGAATTGTTTCAGGTCCCGCAAGTTGCTCCAGTGCGACATTCCAGCCCCACAATGCGTATCTCCTACGCCACCACGGCTGCTTGGTCCCCTCGGCGCAGTAGGAAATCATATTTTCGTGCGTGAAGTTACGCACGATCAATAACATGTTGGTCGTAAGAAAACCTAACTGATAGGGTTGATGCTTTGATTCCAAAGTTACTGGTGCTGTTTTCGTAAGTGATTCAGCTGTAGAAGGCTTTCTGAAGAATTATGACACCACGTAAGATGATGAAGTCGTTTTCCAAACGAGGGCGACGCTGCAGTTCTTGGTTGATTGACCAGTCGCAAGATAGTATCAAGCAATCAAAGGCGGTCTAGTGCGGATCATGCATGTCGCAGGAACGATATGCTGCTCTGCGGTCGATAGAGCGTTGCGCCTCAACAACATTCTTGTCATTTTGACAGGCAGAGACTGCCACGTCTGCAAATGCGGGACGGCTCAGCGACTACGAAGTGTAGCAGTCACCACACTTTGTAGTCCAAGATTCTGCATCGGCAAGCCATATGATGCTGGACAGTCTGTACTCGTTGTAAGTCATACGCGACATGTGACGTCTACGCGTGAATGCCATATCATGACAAAATAGAGATAATTTACTCTGTCGTCTGTAGCTACGACTTACGGTTCGTATTTCATGAACGACAGACACACACCAATCATCGTCGCTGATTCGTATGCTCAGCCTGCAATGACGCCAAACGGCGGCGTCTCGTCTTCATCATCATTACGTCTTCATTAGGTATCAAAGGGAGTGTGTCGAACCCAATGGAATCAAAACAACTCAGTAAAACCAAGTGCGCAAAAACAATCGTGTCGATACACTTGATTGTGTGTAAAGCAAACATCGCTACCCGCCACCATACCCAACCAAGTAAAAAACCCACCATACCTAACTCTAGGCTTATCTTCACTGTGTCTAGGACCGCTTTACGCTCAGGACGCCACTACCACGTGGCTCCTTTATCAAAAGTTAAGGACACAGTCAATATAGAATCGGTGTAAGCTTTTGCATACTTGTGCAAGCAATTAGCCAGACCGAGTCATTGACTTAACGCTTAGGGTTCTAAAGCGTGGGCCAAGAATAAAATTTAAGGCACCTTTTTCTGGGTCAACATGAACCTCGATACTCACGTTGTAACGGGGTAGCCCGTTACATGGTTAAGTGTCACTTTAAAAGAAAGTGACAACAAAGAATATGAAGTGAATATTCTTTGAACAATATCACCGATAATGGTGATAATGGTGAAGCGACCAA